GGTGATAAAAACAGATGTTTTTTTTTTTTTTAAAATAACAACTGAAATCCACTCTCTCTGTTAGCAAAATTTCTCACGAAAAATTGGCTGGATTTCAACGACACTGTCAAAAAGTCCTCGTGTGTGTACATCTATAACTGAATAAATGTTAGAGTCCACTTTATTTAAAATAACCACTAAAGACTTATGGAGCACCAAAATTCTTGTAATTCAGCCACTTTTACAATACTGAACTAACATTTGGTGTGGTAGTAGTTGAGAGTCATCCCTAATGTGTTCTGCACTCTTCACATCGGATAAAATATGCACTTAAAACTTTAGTTTTTAAAAGAATCTGAGGCCATGGTCCTCAACCGGAAAAGGGTGGATTGCTCTCTTAAGGTCGAGGGTGAGGTTCTTTCTCAAGTGGAGGCATTCAAGTATCTTGAGGTTTCGTTCATGAGTGAGGGAAGAATGGAGTGTGAGATTGGCAGATGGATTGGTGCAGCATTTGCAGTATTGAGGACGTTGTACCGCTTCGTTGTGGTGAAGAGACAGCTGAGCTTTCTCTTAACTGGTTGGTTTACGTTCCTACCCTCACCTATGGTCACGAGCTCTTGGTAGTGACCAAAAGAATGAGATCACAGATACAGGAGGTTGAAATGAGTTTCCTCCACAGGGTAGCTGGACTCTCTCTTAGAGACAGGGTGAGAAGTTCAGTTATCCAGGAGAGACTCAGAGTAGAATCGCTGCTTCTCCACATCGAGAGGAGCCAGTTGAGGTGGTTTGGGCATCTGGTAAGGATGCCCCATGGTGCTTCAGGCATGTCTGACTGGGAGGAGACCCTGGAGAAGACCCAGGCCACACTGGAGAGACTATGTATCTTGGTTGGCCTGGGAACGCATTGGAATCCTCCCAGAAGAGCTGGAAGAGGTGGCTGTGGAAAGAGATGTCTGGACCTCCCTGCTCAAGCTTCTGCTAAGCAGAAGATAATGGATGGATGGATATATTGTATTTGTCTGTAAGCAAAATATCTCATGTACAGCTAGATATACAAAACTCACAAAACAAAATTATTAAATTATGTATACAACTGATATATTAATTTACATTACCCCAATTCATGACGGTCACTACATGTAATGAACATTAGCCAATACCAAAAATAAAGCTAGAACTTAGTCAATGTTACATACAGTATATTGAGTTTTAATTTGGAGCACAATAAGATACATGTTGTGATAACTACACAATGCACATCATTGATTACATTTTTTTGGCTTTAACTGTTATACAGACAACACACTTACATCATCAATCTTTCTGTTGATAACCTCATGAACTACTGAACAAACAATAATGAAACATTCAGAAAACATTCACTGGATGTACATCTACAACTTCAAATCAGGATGCTCATCAAGATGACTAGCACAGCTAATCTACCTTTGTCAATCCAAAAATGACATAAACTGATGACCGCCACAGTGTCGGCCATCTTGAAATGGAACTCTG